TTCTGGAAGCATGTGGACCATTGTTGCAGATCAGGATAGTTCTTGAAAGGAGATACCTATAGAAACCTAGAATAAGTTTTAGTTTAGCTAGTCTTTTTGCCTCAGCATAACCATTTGTGCTTAGACTTTACCCCTGACATGCTTTGAATCTAGCACAGGTTAGACATAGATACATATCTAATAGGCAGGTTTTAGGAGTAGTTCAGACATTTTAAAATTACGTTTTGCCAGGCCCGGTGGCTCAAGCCTGTAATCCCAGCACTTTGGAAGACCGAAGCAAGAGGATTGCCTGAGCCCAGGGGATCAAGACCAGCCCAGCAGGTCGAGGCTGTGGTGGACGTGAGCGTGCCACTGCACACTAGCCTGGGCAACAGAGTGAGATTCCAACTAAAAAAAAAAATGCTAACAACCTCAACATATTTTTCCACAACAGAAGCAGTTGTCTAAAATGTGACAAACACAGTTCAAAAGAGTATTAGGGAAACAATGTAAAGGCCATTTCTCTATAAGATGCTTCACTCAAATAAATACCTAGGTTCACACGCTCCTGATCCAACAAGTCAAGAAACCAACAACAGCCATGCAGGGTAGAGTTTTCTTTTCTTTTCTTTTTTTTTTTTTTTGAGTTGGAGTCTCACTCTGTTGCCCAGACTAGAGTACAGTGGCCGCTCCCGGCCACCGCAGCCTCTACCTGCTGGGCTCCGGCGATCCTTCCGCCTCAGCCTTCCAAGTAGCCGGAATTACAGGCATGCGCTACCACGCCCAGCTGATTTTTTGATTTATTGTAGAGATGAGGGCTCACCAAGTTGCCCAGGCGGGTCTCGAACCCACAGGCTCAGGCAATTCACTAACCTCAGCCTCCCAAGACGTGGGATTACAGGCTGAGCCACTGAGCCCAGCTCCTTTTTTTTTTGAGTTGGAGTCTCACTCGGTTGCCCAGACTGGAGTGCAGTGCCCGCTCCCGGCCACTGCAGCCTCGACCTGCTGCGCTCCGGCGATCCTTCCGCCTGCGCTCCGGCGATCCTTCCGCCTCAGCCTTCCGAGTAGCCGGAATTACAGGCATGCGCTACCACACCTGGCTTATTTTTTGATTTATTGTAGAGATGAGGTCTCACTGCCCAGGCAGGTCTCGAACCCACGGGCTCAGGCAATCCACTCATCTCAGCCTCCCAAAGGTGCGGGATTACAGGCTGAGCCACCGAGCCCGGCTCTTTTTTTTTTTTAAAGCAGGATTTATTGAGAGGATAGAAAATCTCCCAGAGCAGGAGGGGACCCGAGGGGGTTGCCAGGGTGGGGTTTTCT